GGGACCACGAGTAGTCCAGGGGGGGGGAATTCTTAAAGGGTTTATAGATTTGACGGAGAAAGGGGGGGGGGGTTTTAAAAAAGCCCCCCCCCCCCAGGTTCCCGTCAAGCCCAGCAGAGCAGTCACGGGGAGCCATAACAGAGGACCCCACACTGCGGTCGTCCGTGACGCCCTGCAGCGTTTACTGTCGAGTGAAACCCGATGCTTCTGTCTTTGTTGTTTTAGCAGCAGACTGACTCCTGATTTCCAGGGCCAGCATGGGGCATCGAAAGTGCCGTCTATTGTCTCAATGTCTGATGGAGGCATTAATGTAACTGTAAGAGGAACCACCACCCCTCCCCAACCACCCCGGGTCGTATCACCATCTACCTGGATTGGCTAGGACTCGCAACATTGGTAATCCTCAGAGTCAGCATTTCCAAGCCCCCTGAAACACCCTGTGAATGAGGTGATCTTGACCTCCCTGTCTAACCCTTTAGAGTTGTGAGGTAAGCGGAGACCCCATTAAATCGCCTCCTTTGTGACGCAGGACTCATCCACGGCTTGCAGGTGGGGCTTTGTCAGCTGGCCCAATTTTACACTTACTGGTCAGCAAACTCCAAGCAACACCCAGAATGCCTTTCTTCAGAGCAACTGTTTTAAACCAATAGGGTAATGAGTATTGTGAATGTACCATGACCAGACCAATCAGATTTATTTTGGTGAATGAGTGACAACTGGTGTTTGGATTGCATGGCTAAGCCAGACTTTGTTCTCCATATATGTAGATACTCTTCAGCATGCTGCAAATTATAACCAAATGCAAACCTTGCATTTTAATCTTCAGTTTGAATGTAACATAGTGGGTTTCGCTTCCTGAAGGTTGCAGGTTGTGTCATGAAAAATATCCCTTCCGGATGTCGTTCTCTACTAACCCGTTTTCAGAACTCAGCCTGGGCTTGGCAGTCGGCTCAGATTTCTGCAGGTACATAGCTGAGGCATGTGAGGTGTGTGATTACCAGGCAGGTAGCGTGACGTTCCCCTGCAGACACGGGGGGGGGGGGCAGGAGGGGGCCTCTCAGCGTGGGAGATACCTGACGTCAGCGCTTTATTTGTCTGTTCAGCTTTGCCGCTTTCGCCAAATATTTACCTCCCTGGTCCTGCATGACTGTTTGTTTCCCATATTAGGTCAGGATGTGTTTGCCTAAATGCCTGGGGATGGCAGGGCTCCTTCACTCAGGAGCTTTGCCAGGTTGCATCAGCTTGGACTTCATGTGCCCTGTGTTTGTGTGTCTCTGCACTGGGGAAGGCAGGGGTGTGGTTCCCCGTCGCCCTTAGCGACAGATCGGATCAAACGAGCGAGAGGTGAAACATATCAGAAACCGGATCGATGCGAAATTGACGCCGTAGTCGCAGTGCGGGGAGAGTTAATCGATTTAGCAATGAAGTTTTGGAGCCCGTTGATTATTTTTTTCGCAGCTGAATTGCGACGTGCTGCCGGCGTGCAGACATGTTACGGGAGCCACTGTCCCCATGCGGCTTTATGTCCGATTGCTCGCAGACCCCGCAGCTTTTCCTGCTGCTTTCCTGCCCACTTGCCCACCCGCCTGCGTCTGACTTATTCCACTCTTTGTGCTTAAGAGCAAGGCAGACGCTCCAGCGGGAGAATAATCTGTGGGCCGCTTCGCTGTTTGCCGTAGCGCATTCATCATTTTGGGCGGTTGCCATGGAGATGGCTGCTGGAGATAGTGCAGCGCCGCATAAGCGTGACAGAAAATGGCACGTGTGTCTGAGAGGTGTGTGTGTGTGTGTGTGTGTGTGTGTCCAGCCTGTACCATGACACCCCCGAACGATCCATCCCCCCCCTTATTTACACATGGCCGCTGATTCACGGCACTGGCAGCTGTGTGCACTGGCAGCTGTGTGCACTGGCAGCTGTGTGCACTGGTAGCTGTGTGCACTGGCAGCTGTATGCACGCCAAGCGTCTCGCATGTATGAGATTTCCTCCCGAGCCATAAATGTGTTTTCTTTCTCTTGACAGAATTCACTGAAAAAGAGAAGCTCCCGGCAGCCGAACAAAGCGGAGAAGAAGCCCTCTCCCCAGGTAGGGTGGGGGGACTCGTGCAGAGGTGCCCTGAGCCGCAGGCGGGGGAGGGGGGCAGGTAGCAGACAGCAGAACAGGCCATGCCCCTGAGACCGCAGCTCTGATCTGGTGAAAAGGCAGAATCGATCCAACCCCCCGGTCCCGATGGCTGCATGTAGAAAATTGTGTCATTTTTATGCTTCTTGCTGTGAATTCAAGCCTGTAGGGGGATTTTTAGGTGGGGAATGTGTCCTGCCCCCCCTCCAGTAATGAAAATGGAGCGGGTTTCATTACACACAAACTTGCAGTTGAATGAGACCGGTTTCATTTTAAAAGCACAAACTCTCTATCTAACAATGTCAAACTACACATGTGTGTATTTCCCAGAGGCAGCCAAAAAGCACACTGCATTTTATGAGCTTAGCTTTCGTCTCTGTGCACTGCGTAACACTGCACTGATCCTGCTCACGCAGCCGTGCAATCTTGGGGATTCTGACCTATGATGAAATCTCTGAAATTCCCCATCAAACCTCCTAGTACTTTCCTTCATATTTTCGAGAAACAGGTATGAGTCGTCAAGGGAATCGGCAGCAGATCCAAGTTCCCTAGAGTTTTTCATCCCGAGTTGGTGGGCGGGATTATATTAGGAGATAAGATAAGATCAACATGAACTTTAATGATCCCAGGAGAAATTCTGCTGCATACAGCGGCGAGGAACGTAAAGTGCGGACAAACAAACACTCAGTGCAAAACAAAGAGAAAGTACAAAGACAATATCCATAGTGCAGACAGATTTAGAAAGAACACGGTACATTAATAGAGCATCCTTAAAAAGGACATTAAGGAAATAAATGTTTAAAAATAAAGCAATAACTAAATAAATAAAACAATGGAAGGTTAATGCATTTAGATACGCGTGTATCCATCTGGGGGGGCACACTGGCACAGTAGAAGTCAAACCTCTGGGTCCAGGGTTCGAGTCTCCGCCCTGGCTCTATGAGTGTGGAGTTTGCACGTTCTCATCGTGGGGTTTCCTCTGGGTAATCTGCTTTCCCCCCACAGTCCAAAGACATGTTGAGGGGGGTGGGTTGGCACCCCATCCTGGGTTATTTCCTGCCTTGTGCCCCTAGCTGCATAGGACGAACAGGTATAGAAAATGGATGGATCGGTATATCCGTCCATCATGAATTCACGAAATGGCCTAGGCTCTAAAAAGAAAATGCAGAATGGGGGGGCACAGCTGTCCCGTTGAGGCGGGGGTGCTCACTTGGGGTGTCGCTTGTGGTTCCCAGGAGGATAGCTCCGATCTCAAGTGCCAGCTCCACTTCGCCAAGGAGGAATCAGCGCTCATGTGCAAGAAGCTGACCAAAATGGCCAAGGAGAGCGAGGGCATGCGGGAGGAGCTGGCCAAGTACCGCTCGCTCTACGGAGACCTGGACGCCTCCCTGTCCGTGGAGGAGGTGGCCGACTCGCCTCACAGCCGTGAGGCCGAGGTCAAGGTTCACCTCAAGCTGGTGGAGGAGGAAGCCAACCTGCTGAGTCGCCGCATCGTGGAGCTAGAGGTGGAGAACCGGGGCCTGCGAGCCGAGATGGACGACATGAAGTGCCAGGACCTGCCTGGGGGGGCGGGGCCTCTGGCACTGGGAGGGGGTGTGGCCACGGGAGACAGCACCGTGGAGCTGCAGAGGCACTTGCAGTTTGTGGAGGAGGAGGCAGAGCTGCTGCGGCGCTCCCTGCTGGAGTTGGAGGAGCAGAACAAGCTGCTGATGAACGAGCTAAACCGCTACAAATCGGAGCAGGAGCCCGAGGGGGACCTGGCGGTGGGGACGGTAGGGGATGAGGACGCCGGCGATGGCTACACGGTGGGCGAGCCGCCGCAGGAGGAGCTGCGCAACGCGCGGCTGCAGATCGGCGAGCTCAGCGGCAAGGTGAAGAAGCTGCAGTACGAGAACCGCGTGCTGCTGTCCAACCTGCAGCGCTGCGACCTCGCGTCCTACTCGCGGCTCGCCATGGAGACGGACGCCGAGGCTGGTGACTCTGCCGAGTGTGTGCCGTGCCAGCAGCGGCGCGAGGGGCCTGTGGGCGGTGAGAGCGGCGCGCCAGCAGAGCCGGAAAAGACGCCGGCGGAGGGCGGCCGGGGCGGGCACGTCGAGGCCACCCTGCAGGGCCTTAAACCGAAGGACTATGAGGCCCTCCTGGCAGTGAGGGACCAAGCACACCTGGTCACCACTGCCATCCAGCTGCTCACTGCGTCCGGCTCAGGCTGGCTGTTCCCCTACCGCAAGACAGCATCCTGCCCTAACGAACCGGCAGAGCCAGAGAAGAACCAGGATCTGCCCCTGATGGAGGCGCTGAATGGCCGGCTGGGCGTCCTGCAGACGCAGCTGCTGTCCTTCATAGACCGGGTGGAGGACCTGAGGGCCAGAGAGTCAGTGGAGGGGCCCTTGCTGGAGAGCAGCAACACCGAGGACCAGGGCAAGAGCAGGGAGGCCACGGTCGAGCGGAAGGTGAGGACATTTCGAACCCCTGCCTTTTGTTTTGATTTCCTCCGTTCCCTGAACTCTCCCCTCCTTCGCAACATTTTTTTGTTTATCCCTCTCCTTTATATCCCATCCCAAAGCTCACTAACACCCCCACACTTAAAATTTCTAGAACCGAGTGCATGTTGGTCACACACACGTAGACTGACACCTATTAGCCTCTAATGGAGTTCCCCAAAAGATATTCTTATTAAAATGTAACATGACACTGAATATCCTCCTGGCTGTAATGTTCAGCACGGAAGTTAATGACCAGCTGTGTATTTTACATAGCATTCAGGAGCAGAATATTATGCTATTAGTAGCATTTTTGTCCATATATATGTAATCACCCTGGTGTCCAGAGGTAGACATTTCAGGTCCAGAAAGTAAAAATCCAGACCAAGATTTAGTTTCAACCAACCAGTTGAGTATTAAGAGTCCCTGCCTCATGCCCTGTGCTGCTTGGGGTAGACTGCAGACCCGCTGTGACCCTCTACTGGATAAGTGTTTCTTGGAGATGGGTGGATGGATGGTTTAATGGATGGATAATATTAGTTTGGACCTGCTGGTTCACCGCCACCTCCCCGGTGTAGTCCTCACCTTAGGAAGTTACCTGAGCATCCAGCTTCTCCTGGTATGTGGCCAAGTGCATCAGACTGAAGCTGGCAATGGGAGGCTTCCGGAAATCTCCATCAGAGGCTAATCCCCACGGCTCTTCCCCTCATTGCATGAGCATCATAGCCGACGGTTCCTACACACGTTTTTTCCCCTTTTCCTACTTCCTCTCTCTCTTCTTCTCCTTCTTCCGCTCTTCTCTATTCTTTTTTTGATTTTCTGTTCCTCTTCCCCCGCCTCCCGCTCCCTGCCCCCCTGCAGTCGTTGTTCTTGGTCCTCATTTTTGTTTTGGTTCTGTTCTCCATGCTGTCTTATGCCGCTGTGGCAAAACTGTTTTTTCTTTACATACTTTTCTTCGTCTTGTAAGTTCTCTTGATGTTCTTTACGGAAACCATCAATTTGTCCCATTTTGTTTCTGGAACCCCTCCCCTCATCCTCCTCTCCCTCCTCCTCCTGTTCCTCCTCTCCCCCTTTGTGGTCCACATTAACACCCTCCCGGTCCCCCCTCTCCTCCTCTGTCCTGCCTCCCCTCTCTTTATCCTTTGTTCTGTTTTCATTAACTTGCCCATGCATGCAGCAGCCTGACTTTAGGGACCAATCAGCGCATCGGGTCAAAGGTCAGAACGTGCACCTGAGCAAAACAGAGGAGGCGGACAACAAGGAAAAGGACCAGGACACCCAGCAACCAGAGGGAAAGGAGACCGACACCACAGAGGTGTGTCAGTTGACTTACAATCACAAGGTGCCCCTTCTGGAATATTCTCAGATCAGTTCAGTGAAATGTTTTGGAACAGCTGCATGCAGTCAAGAGCTTGCCCACAGCCTTGTTGATTTGACCTTTAGGTAAACAGTCTCCATGGTAACACAGGTTATAACGGGAAGTCTGTTCAGGCTATAAGGCCGAGATGCCTGAGATCAACACAATGGCACCATCTCCTTCCACAGGATGTTCGTTTATTGTTCTCAAAAGCAGAAAATAATATGAAAGTTACTTCTGGTGTGTGGCGTTTTGTTCCGCAGTGGACTTCACTCCCTCAGGGGTCTCACGGCCCTCCCGAATCGTTGTACGACCGGCTGCTCCCATCTAACTAAGCCTCAGCATCTCTCTGCTAACATTAGCATTTAGGAGGAGTTGAGTTAATTTTAGATCGAACTTCAGAAGGGTTATTCCGGAATTATCTAAATAAATATTCTTGTTTTGGTAGCCGGTTTCGTATTGGACATATTTGTCTTCACACCATCAAGTCGGCGGGTGGCCAGTTGCCGACGCCGGAGCCTTCTGGCAAGCTGCCATCAGCGCAGATGCTATCGTAGGCTGTTTTGGAGTGTTACGGGGTCACGTTGTGGAAAGTGGCACAGCGATGGCTGTCAACCAAATAGGGACACGGTCACAGGCAGCAATGGTCAGGCTCAAACTGGATACCGCGGTAACATCGGGTTCCTATCCCAGCTGTAGCTGATTGCGAATTTTCTTCTGCATCGTTGGCGCTATGCAGAAATGGAGCAATGCTCTTTTGCAGAACGGCCTTACAGAGATGCTCTGGATTGCCGTAAGCCGGGATGACGGCCCGGCACGCATCCGAAGCCCCGTAAATCAGACAGGAGGCACAGCTGGGCCCCTCCAGACGAGCCGTCTCTCTCCCCTGCTGTGGTGGGGGGGGGGCGTTTACCTCGCGCCTGACATCCTCGCCATCTCCTCTCCCCAGCAGCTAGACCAGATCCGAGAGCTGCAGGTACTGCTGTCGGAGGCCAGGGACGGTGTGCGGAGTGTCCAGGAGCAGCTGTCCCAGGAGAGGCAGGCGCGCAGGGAGGACTCCCAGAAACTGGTGCAGGTACCAGCTGTCACTAAGACAACAACAGCACCATGGACTCCCCACACACTACAGTCAGCCCCTGAACCCCCCCCCCCCCACACACACATACACACACACAACTCCCTATAGTCTCCTCCCAGTCATCCATTCCTTCGTGTCTTCACTTTCTGTTGGGACCTGCTCCCTTCCACCAACCCCCCTCGGCCTCCTCACTTCCCAGCTGCAAGAGGAGCACCAGAAGGCCCTGGTGCGGAGGGACTTCCAGCTGCAGAGTCTGAGCCTACAGACCCGCCTCCAGCAGAAGTTCTGGAGCCAGGAGAGGAACCTAATGGTGCAGGAGTCCCAGCAGCTGAAGCAGAATCTGCTGCTGCTCAGCCTGAAATTGCGGTGGCTCCTCAAACAGTGGAGGCTGGGCAAGAAGCTGGAGGGAGAAGGGAAGGACATCCTCGAGGTATGCAAGCACAGGGGACTTTTATTTTGACGTTCATTAGAGGGCACTACATTAACCCTTTCAGTGCTGCAATAGTAGGTATAGAGGGAAGGTTGAGGGAGTATATTTTAATGTACTGTTGTGTTTCAACGGTTCTGGGGTAAAATGAATTCTGTCCTCAGGTGAATAACGTGAAGGACCTCTACCTGCTGCTGGAGGAGGAGGGCCTGGCCTCCCATCAGGGGGACAACAAGGCCTCCTTGACAGAGGAGGAGTCCAGCCCTGTGGCCAAGGATGTGTGTCAGCTGGAACGGACCATCAAACAGGTGCCAGCCGTCTGAGACGTCTGTGAGATCTGTCCCAGAGCCGGGGGTTCATGTTTACGAATTTCACAGAGAGCTACAGTAATTTTTGAGAAGAGAGCTGTTGGGTCAACAGCATCTGACATAGCGTACAAGTTGAGAAGATTACGAAATGGCTATAAGATGATACAGCTTTCATAATGGGACTGATTTTCCTGGTCTCATTGTCAGAAATCGAACGGCTTCCTTGTCCCAAAGACATATCAGCTATTTGATGATGGTTCGTTATTGGCTGCATAAAGTATACAAATTATAGTGAATAGAAATACCGGTCAGTTTATAATTAATTAAAGTACAAAGTTTTCACAGACCAGTGGGCTGAGCAGCACCTTGGCAGACCTGAAGGGGGCGCTACATGACCTGACCACAGAGCTGCGAGAAGAACGGCAGGGATCTCAGGAGCTCACCCAGCAGTTTGCCCGAGCAAAGGCTTCATGGGAGGCGGAGCGCACTGAGCTTAAGAGTCACATTGCGCAGGTGAGCAGCTGCCCTCCATACTCGCGTTAACGTCATGAGAGCGATTCTACCGAGTGCTTCAGCTCTGGTGTCTCCAAAGGAGTTCAGCACCACTGATAAAAATATCCATGGTCTGGAATCTCACTAGAATCTCTAGCAAGCTTTAGTCTATCCTTGAAAAGCTCCAGCAGAGCCCAACCACTGTACTAGACTATATCTCTGGCCTGTCGTAAAGCTTTGGTGTTTCTCTAAGCTTTCTGTAGGAGTTTGCAATAAGTCATTATCCCAAAAAGCAGCAAAGCCGTCAATTCAGCCCCTTTAAGGATATTCCATAACGATTGATGCCAGTGATGTTAATTTGGTCTCAGAACTGCGGTGAAGGAAGGCGGCCAGGTGCAGTTTGAGTGTTTTACGGGGAGCTGGCAGACGAGCTGTAAGGAAAACGGGCACCCGAAAGGCACCGTGCTGATGGGATGCCGTGGCAGCCGGGGGCAGATTTACTGCATTCAGCAAGCTGTATTTCAGCGTCATTTCGTCCATCCTGACATTGACCTTGGCGTAGTGTGAAAGGCAGGCGGTGGAAGCCGATGGCAAGTCGCCATTGCTTTGGGCCTTCAAGGTTGGGTGACTTTTTGACCAGAACCCGGAAAAAATGGATGCCTTGGTACTATTCCCAAGTTTCCCTTGCAACGGTTCCTCATTCATGTCCAGGACAAAAGAGCACTATTGTGTTTATGTATGCAACCGATGGGTTTTGCGGCTCACGTGAGCCAACGAAGGTTTGCTTCAAAAACTTCGTAAAGATCCAGATTGCATGCTGGGAAAGAGGAGACTCATGCTGACCCCTGTGTTTAATATGGTGGCTGAATGGGTCTGGTGCTGATTGTGGGACTGCTGTGCCTCAGAAACAAGCAACAGCTGTTAAACCAGACATCACTGCTCATCAAGTCCAATTGTAACAGGGGAGAAAACATACCTATTGTAAATAACGCATTTCCAAGTTTTGTAGTTAGTTCTGAGAGAATTGGTGTGTTGCTGGTTTTGTTTCTTAAATATTTTATATATACAGCGCCCTCCACAATTATTGGCACCCCTTGTAAAGATTTGTGAAAAGGGTAGAAAAAATCCACCTTCTGGTGAAGTAACGTCATCTCACACTGAGGTTTTGTGAAGCCACTTCACAAAAAGGTGTTTTTTTTTTCTAACCCTTTTTTAGAAAAATGGTGCCAATAATCGTGGAGGGCACTGTATATCTGATTGTCTTATATCTGATTGGCCTTAAATATTCGCACATATTATTTAATTCTTTATTTTATCATCAAGAAATGTATCAGTCTATTTCTGTGCCTTTTATATATAATCTGCCAAATTTAATGCCTGAAAACGTGGGCGTCCTCATAGCCATGAACCAACCAGCCATCCCACCCCCTCACAGCTGGAGTCCAAGGCAGGGAAAGCTGGAATGGCAGCTGAGAAGGAGGCCCCAGAGCTGAAGGCAGCGTTAAGGAGGGAACGCGAGGAGCACCAGCACCTTCTGGCCGACTCCTACGCCGCCGTCATGGACCTGACCAAGCAGCTGCAGATCAACGAGCGTAACTGGAGCCGCGAGAAGCTGGAACTGCTGGAGCGCTTCAATCAGGAGCGTGGCCAGTGGGAGCAGCGGCTGCGAGACACGCAGGCCAAGACCGGCCAGGTTAGCCGCCAGCACCTGAACCTCCGCTTGGCCCCTGGGAACCTGCCCTGCATTCCCGTCCACTTCTCCTCCTTGTTTCTTTTCTTATTACTCTTTTTCTATGTCCGCTATTTATGGAGAAGATTTGATTTTTCCAAGACAATGGCATCACGACGAATTACCACAGAGATACAGTGTGTCATTATGATGCACACATAGTGATTTCGTGTCTCCAGCGGCACTCGTTGAGAAGCCGTTTGAACCTCTGTAGGCAGCTACCATGATGGCAAGCTGTGGGTTCAGGGACAACATGTGGGGGAAGCTTTCTCACGAGGATTCAGCCACAGCCAGGAAGGAAGTGAATCCTCATGATGCACAGCAGCATGAAATATAGCCGTGCTCCTCCGAGGAAGCTGTGGGATTAGTCATGCGTAAAGTACTCTGCTTGGTCACAGGGAGTAGAGATCGCTGTTCAGTGACTAAGGATGGTTTCTGGGCTTGCGGTACACGTTCAGAACTGTTTGTTGATGCTGGCAAACCCTAAATTAAATCCCGTAATGGATCAAGGCCAATTGATATTTGTGGCGGCCAGCTGTTGAAAATCCCGTGTCGTACACATCCAGCTTCACTGTTGTTTTATTTATCACTAAGCATGCCGTTAGTGTTTTATCTCCTAAAGAGTGATTGTCCATTCATGTACCAGAGCTGAAAAGGACCCTCAGGCATTGATCTGGTCGCCGTTCTTCCTGTTCGATTTAATGGGACCCAGTCAGCTCTGGGTCCCTACAAAAAAAGCCTTGCTCCACTTGGCAGGACCTACTGCCTGTCTGGACCCGATCCAGTCTGCCGCAGATTGAGGCCCATTCCTAAAAAACAGGAAAGCCACATTCCTATGGAACTTCTGCCTCTTCCGGGCCATTAGGCAGTCAGTCCGGGCTCTTTTCTTGCTTTGCTGAACCCGAGAAAAGTAGAGAGGAACCAAAGTTAAGCTATAACACACAAGTGGCAGAAGCCAACAGCACGAGAAGTGTTGTGCGGGTTCTTTGTGCTGTCAACTTCTGCTGCTTACTTGTGGGCTAGGAGGATGAGTAGGGCACCTGGTGTGCACGAGGAGTGTGCATGAAAGGTGTGCATGAGGGTCCTGTGTACCACATCAACAGATCAAAGACCGTCATTTGGTTAATGCTTCATGACCTTGTGGAAGCAGGAATATGGGATTCAAATTAGCAGTACAACTGTGTGACTGATAAGAGTCATGTTCCCTGATGTGTTTTTGCACAGCTAGAATTTCTAGATCATTTCCACATAGTGAAATGAGAGAGATGATCAATTTCAGAAGGTTATTGTGTCTTCCTTCCCGAGTGTTTACATTTTTCTCAACTTTGACTTCTTGCACTTCTTGCAGCCAGAGAAGATTTCAGAAAAGGGGGGATCATCAGAAGCAGACGCGAAGAGGTGAGGTTCCTCTCAACTGTGCAGATCTTCATGAGCAGACATCTCCTAAGTATTTTCCCCAAATTCTATCAGCAACACAATTCCAAGGTCCACTGCGGTCAGGGTGGGGGTAACCCCCATCGATTGATTTTTCCACCTGGGGCCGGGAGTAGGATGGATTAGTAGTTGGGTCCGGTTGCATGTTGGAGTCCCAACAGTTGGTGTTCCCTGTTCTATAGAGTACCATCCAGTTGTTGTCTTCACTGCTTTCCTCTGTTCGTTTGTAATTTGCAGGACCAAATCCATCTCTTCGGTGCCAGAATTTGAGAATCTTCTAGAAACCTGTCCTTTTGCCCCTATGCGTGAAATTGATGGGATTAATATTAAGGGAAGGAACAGACAGCCTGGTGTCCTGCCCAACCTCCTAACCCACACTGACTTGAATGACCTGAACAAGAAGAATTGGAAGTACCTCACCAGCGAGGTAGCTCTCTTAGAGAAGGGAGATCCTTTCAAAACCTGGGATTGTCCTACCACTACCAGCAGCTTCCCAGGCCTGGACCAGAGCCTCAAGCACATCCAGAGGAGCTACACAGCCCCCGACAAGACTGGGATCCGCATCTACTACAGCCCACCCGTGGTTCGACGTATGGAGAGGTGCTTGGCCAAGGAAACACCACAGGATGAGCCAGGAAGCTCGCACATTGGTGAAGGGACTCGAGGACCTGGGGACAAGGAGGACCCTGCTCCCAGCACCTATGACAGATGGCTCTGCAAGTTCTCTAAGCAGCATAGGGAACTGCTGGAAAACGGGCCTACCTCCGTGGCCTCAGCTGGCCTTCCCTCACCGTTCCACGACCTGGAGATCTCAGGCAACCTGAGCGATGACATGAAGGAGATGACCAACTGTGTCCGGCAAGCCATCCGCTCCAGCTCCCTGGAGAGGAAATGCAAGGATACCGCGTGCCAGACAGTGGGCGTGGTCAGCACCGGAACCCAGACAGCCCAGTTTGTCAGTGTGGGCCTCCAGACTGAGGGGCCCAGGAGCAGCAGTCTCCATGCCAAGGGCCTACCACCACGGGTGTCCTCACTGGCATCAACACGTTCACGCCAGATTTCGAGCTCCCTCGAGAAGGTCCACAGTCGCATCGAGAGGCCGTGCTGCTCACCCAAGTACGGCTCACCCAAGCTCCAGCGCAGAGTGTCTGCCTCGTCCTCCAAGCTGGATGGATCCAAGGACCGGAGCCTGTGGAACCTGCACCACCGTGGGCAGAATGGTTCTGCCTGGGCCCGCTCCACCACAACCCGTGACAGTCCTGTGCTCAGCGGCCTCAACGACGGCCTGTCCAGCCTCTTCAACGTGGTAGAGCACTCAGGCAGTGTGGAGTCCCTGTGGAAGATGGAGGTCCCCAGCACTGGCCCCAAGGCAGCTGGCAAACCCAGCGCCGAGCCCGGTGTCCACAGATATGGCATCGTCCATGAGTTCTTCCGCAACGTATGTGGCAGGGTGCAGACGCCCATGCCAGCCGCAGGGGAGAGGCCACTCAGGGAGGGGATGCCGGCCGATGAGGTGAAGCCAGAGTGGCCCCCCAGCACCACGTTGGCTGGGAATGACAATGTCACCAAGATTGTTAACAAGAGGTTCATGAAGCAGAGTCAGCGGGATGAGCAGGCCCAGGCTGCGTCCGAGGTAAGTTACCATGGCGACTGTCCCAAAGTAACCCCTAGTTTAGCTTCCTGAAAAAGGAAACATCCTCGAGCATTGTCAAATGTAGATCCACTCCTGATCTCGCTGTCTTTACCCCAAAGCAGGAGTCGGCCTGCGAATGCACCTCCCCATCTCTGACCTCCTGTTTCTCCCGGCCATCCCGCCTGGCCACCCGTCATGGCCCAGGCCACTGCAAGCTGCGCTCGCCGGATTCCCTGGAAGAGAAAGTGGATGTGGCCCCGTGGAGTGAGGGGACAGGAGGTGGCTCTGCCTAATCTGCACCTCCCGCACCCAGGCAGAAAGGTGCACTGGCTAGATGTCAGATTCTAATGCCAAGGAAAAAGAGCTTGTCTTCTAGAATATCGCCCAAACTACTGAAGACTACCAGCAGGAAGCAACATCACCAGGACAGAGCAAGAGTGCTGGGAATACAGCTTACCGTACTCTACTGACTGTTTGTGCTGTATTCTAACTACTTAACTTTGTCAAACCCCTCTTGCCCCCCCAGCATTTACGTGCCTCACCATCCCATTCTGTAGCAATCCCCCCCCCCTCAAAGGTTAAGAATTTGAAGGGAGAATTATCCTCTCCTTCTTCCATGCAACCTCTTTGGATGAATCCAAACCATTCCGTGATCGCCTCATTCCCCACGCCAAGGAAAGGGGGTAGAAGGATTCTAATACCCGTGCCTCGAAAGGTGGCCAGATTCACCCCCGCCCCCACCCACGAATGCCTCATCTGAGAGATGTGTTGGAATCAGACCATTTACTGACATGGGATCCGGGGGAAACTCCATCTAGCAGGTCTTAGCAGAATGACAGGAATCCAATACAAATTAGAGAAAGAAACTCACTTATAGATATTTCTCAAGTCCATCTTCCCTGAAAGTGGTACTTTTTTATTGATATGAGCTACTATTGTGGCTCAGACTGTATACAGCCAGTATACTTCACAGGAAAGGCTATCATTGCCTCGTCTGCCACATGCAGTTTTGAGGCTATGCACGATTACAGGCGGTCCAAACCCAGCTGTAAACATTATGCCGGGTCAGAATCATGAACCACCCTTAGTGGACGGGACCTTTTTGATGTTTTGTTTTTCCTCCATCCTTTCCGAACCACACGCCATTTTTTATCTACGTTCTGTATTCTGACGTTATTTTACTGTTCTGAACTCCGTCCAGAAGGCATTTGGTGGTGAACCGAAACGACCAAAACTGGTTGGATGTCCAGGTCAACGTGTCACTTCCTGACACTGAAGCGTAGCAGCTTCGGGAGTGACGTATGCACCCATTATGAAACCTTTTATGACATATTTCATGTTGGTATTTTATTTCTTAATTTTAAAAGGACTAAAAAGGAGAAAGCTAAATATTTATGTTCTTTTGATACTGAGGGATTTATTTTTTAATTTTTTAAAATTATTTTTAAACATTTATATCTTCTGTCTTGATGGTGCTGGACAAACAGGTTTCGTTAAGTGTGTTTATATAGTGATATAGCAGTTACACACTTCTGGCTCTCTAGTTAAGACTAGTGTGTTATGAGCTTTCCGGGCAGATGCCTTAAAGACAGGAGGAATCTCTTGCCAAGCATGCCGACTTCGTGCTGCCTGAGATTGACTGTCCGACCTCGTCTCCCAACATCGCTGATGTCTTAGGCGCGTGAAGCTTGTGTCAGTGTCCCTGCTTTCGTGAAAGTGACGGCCACACTGTTTTAGTGTCACATGGAGAGCAGATGCACAGATCACGACGGTAGTTAGAATGGCAGATAGTGAACCTGAAAATTCTGTCCTCCGGCGTTTAATGCTGCTGTCTCCAAAATGGCTACCTCCTCATGCTCAGTACCTTAACGATCACAGGAATACACCTGGCACGTCACACTCATTTCCCTGATTTAACGAAGAGCATTAAAATAAACAAACGATGGTTAATTCCAGCAGGTCACGTCAGTGCCTTTTTCCTACAGACTTAATATGGTGGTAAGAAAAAGTAATTAAAGAATCCAACCGGAGGCAAAGGAGAGTCTGACCGCAGAAAGAACGCATGCTGACCAAACTGTGTGGAGCAGGGTTTCCCAGTCCGGTTCTCAGGGACCCACAGCCGGTCCACAATTTTGCTCCCTCCGAGCCCCCTGCCAGACAGTCCACTTGGAGGTCCGGATTGGGAAACACTGGTCTGGCGCATGACCACATGACCAAATACGACATTCCTCCCCCCCTCTCCCCACGGACACCCTCCTCCTCCCCACTCCTGTCGAACCCGGGACAAAGTGAGGAAAGCGAAGAAGAAAAGCTGAACCGATCAGAAACCATTTCAAGCTCAAATATTTTCCTTGCGTTCAGATCATAGTCCTCGGAAATTAACTTACAATATTCCAGTCCAGTTATTGAGAACTACAGTATTTGGCGACAAATACAAAAACTGTTGTCTTACTGTAAATATGTTAGCTGTATTATTATTATTATTGTTATAACTGTTTTAACTGGTTTTCTTAGCACAGTTGAGGTCATCCTGTTACACTTCTTGGCTTTGAAGCAGTGTGTCAGTCAGTAATCTCCCGCACAAATCATTCCTGCAGTACAGTGGGATATCTCCACTGTTGTAGCATCCTTGTATAGTGCCCTTCCTGTCCACTCCCCGCACCCACCCCCCAATCCTCACTGGCCTTAGCCGCAGGGACACTTCAGTGAAACAGGTGGGCTAAACACAGACACATGAGAAAGGATCGGAGTAGTCATGTGACCATGTCATCTCTGTGGAATTGCCACCGAGACCATCTGTGCGTCACACTCCGTGCTGATGACTGCCCCTTGTGGCCCAGCTGAGAACTACAGTGTGTAGCAATATGAAAATGTATTCTTAGTTAAAAACTGTTAATAATATTTGCTAAATTATTATTGCACAACTGCCTGTATATTTGTTTTTTTTTTGTTCTTTTTAATAACTTTTAAATTGAAATAAGCATACCCTTCGTAAAAGTTTAATTTGAAAAGAAAAAAAATATTTATACTCTTTCTATCCTTGCAATGGAGAAATGGAACGTCTTTAATGGATTTGAGTCTCCTTTTATGTTAAAAAGGTAAACTCCCCTGTCTGCGTGTAGTTAGAAATTCTGTAAATATATATTAGGAAATGGATGGATTTAAAGAAAATGCAATGGAATTTCATTTTGGATTGTGAGGCAGGGGAGAGGCCTTTCTGACTGCCAAAGTTCATTGCTTACTGGTTGTCATGTTTCACAAATAAATGTTAAAAATAATCCATGAGCAATTCTGTCATCATTTCTAGAAATATTGAGAATTTGGGACCACTTCAGAATTCATAAATTGCAACAAAAGTATCATTTCATCAATTAATTTTATTACTGAGTGAAAATGGAAAGCCATTACAAATTGCCAGGAAAGACGTGGTCAGTTCCCTTTTAAAAAAGAAAGGAAAGAGCATTTTGTTTTAGAAATGTTGCTGCGATTACAGCAGATTCTGCCATTACGTTCCATCTGCAATGTTCATATTATGGACCAACGCTGAAACTCCCTTTCAGAGAAAAACTAGGCGCCTTTCCACAGTACCGCTATTTCTGATGTTTTTCTGTTACAAATCTATAGCATATCCCCCCCCCCCCCCCCCCCCCCCCCCCCCCC